GACTACGTCCGCTTCGATATCATGTTTTCGACTAGGGATTGCCATTGCCTTGTCCCAACGCAAGTACCGGTCGTTGCGGCAGCAGCGAGTTCAGCGGTCGGTGCGGCTGCTAGCCATGTGGGCGGAGCTGCCCGAGTTTGCACTTGTGCCGTTGGAGCTGGCCTTCCGGATCACGGGCCAGCCGCACGGTGTCGACACGATCATGTCCATTCTCGAGTTTGCCAGCGAGGTTCGAGTCTAGCAAGGTGGATGTATCTCATCCTTTATGCGCAGGGCAGCACTATCGTGGTGTCATTGGTCTGCGGCAGTGCCATGCTCCTCTTTCATTGGTCCAAGCGATGTACGTCTCATATCCTCACGCAACGGGAACGAGATGGCGCAATGACTAGGTCACGTATTTCTCGACCGCATCGTGCACCCACTGGCACTGGATCTCTTTTATATCCCAATGATCACGGCTTTTCTGCGGCTTGGGACGTGTCCGATGGATTCCGAGCACGTCGCGTTGCCCGGCGGGTTTGTCTGCGACTGCGTCGACCACTTTGGCTACTTTTGGGTTGCTTCGATGCACAATCTAGAGTCTAGTTCTGACATGTACTGACGGAGACTGTGTGTAGGCGCTCGGACTGATCTCGTTCGTCTTGCTCTACTGCAGCGCACTGCATCACAAGATGAATGTCGAGCCGCTCGCAACGACCATGGACTTTCGTTTTCAACCGAGTTACCAGTTTTCATCGCCATGGCCCGGACACGTACACTCTCTAATTCATATTGGACATTCATCAAATGTGACTCTGTAGTTAGCCCGATCATGTCGATTTTGGTCAGCAACATGGACGCCAGCCGCAATGAGACCATCGGTCTCCTTACTGGTCTCCTCGTCGTTTGGGGCTTCCTTCTCGAGTACTCGTACCGCACCCAGCCGGTACTTCTCTCATGCATTTGTACATTATTCTGATGACAATATTGATTTCGATGTACTAGTGCATTGGCAGCGGGAGCGTCCCCAACAATATTCGCGTGCTGGCTTTCTCGAGCGCCATCTACACGACGCTTGCTTCCATTGGAGTCTTGACGACAGACGCCAGTCTCTCAACACTGCTCTGGACACTTGTACCGCAACCACTTATCGGTGTCGCTGCGTGGATGCTCAATGAGCGCCGCGCACGCCTGTATCACATTCCCAACGTCTCGATCGTTGAGCTACTCAAGAACGAATCGCCAACGATCCAATTGGTTGGCGCCGTCGCCGCGCTGTACGTCAACCCGAATCGCATCGTCGCGACAGACCACGAAAAGCTCTTGGTGCAACTACGGCAGCTCGCGCGTGGCCCGGTGCACGCTCCGCTCTCTCGTTTGTATGCGCTTCGAACCTTGTGGTTTAGTCACATTGAGGTCGATAGAATCTTGTATTCTACGTTACATACTATAAAGGTGATGTGTGTAGAGCTTTGTCGCACAGACGCCACCTGCCGTAGGCGACGCATCGACGGCGATCCCGCCAAAGTACTGGCTGAAAGACCGCGCCAACGGCGACCGACCACCGCGTCAAGCAAACAACCAGCCAAAATATGTCAAGCTGACGGCCGACAGCATTGTGCTTCAAGCGCACCTGCGGCTGGCGCGCCGAACATCCATCTCGTCCATGCTAAGCGACGTGCAGCAGCGAATCCAGTCCCAATCGAAGCAGAAAAGCTTGATCCTCCAATCCACAGGCAGGAGCGCTACAGCCCCCGAGGATACCACATCCTGTCGCATCGTCATCATTCACGATTGTCCGTGGCTCTCGTACTCTCAATCACCTGACGACGCCGTCGCGACAGCCAACAGTCTCTTTCGCTTGGCGCTCGACATTTGGGCACAGAGCTGTGCGCATCAAGATCGCGTCGCCATGCGTGAATGCGCGCTCTTCCTTCTCCAGTGGTACCGCACCGGCCACCTCTATCTCCCGCCCGTCGTCTACCTCCAGATCTTATCCGCACTCTGCATGGTCGGATCCACCAAACACATCATCGATGCTACCCACAGTTTGTACAACGCGACGCTCGACAAGGTCACACCCGTGAGTCTCTGGCTCGAGCACCCCGGGTGTGTCGACCACTTTGCCTTTGCACTCAAAGTGCAAAGTCGGACGACTGTGACCAAGTGCGCCTCCATATTGGCGCTGATCGTGGACTGTGCCAAGACGACGCAGGCACCACCGCGACGCTGGACGCCGGCAGCGATCGAGAGCGTCGAGGTGGCGCTGGCGGCCTGGCCGCACGTGTACCGGATCAGCGACTGTCTCGAGCGCGTTTACACGTACCTCTTTGAGATCCAGTCTGCGCCACCAAAGCCTGTAGAGCGCACCGGCAGCGTGCAGCGATCCTTATGGAGCGCGGTGCAGGCGTCCAAGTCCACCCGCGACTTGCCAAGCACCAAGCCACGCGACGCTTGGGCATCTAAAGACCTTGCTGCTGGGCCGCAGCCGTTGTTGTCACTAGCCCCTCCACTGGGGTCGCCATCGAGTAAGAAACGGAGTTTTGCGCGGGCGGCCAGCCTTGCCCTCGGTCTCAACGCAGTGCATCCACTTCCATCTGCATCCTCTCGACGACGGGTTCAACCCATGTCGTTTGATGTTGCCGACACGCTGACGTCGACGGTGGCGACGCTAGCACCGAGCTCGAGTCAGACCAAACTTACCCCCGTCAGCGTTCTTCCCCGCAACGGCAGCTGGACCAAGATCATGCCAACGGCAGCGTCGCCAGAAAGCAATGAAACAGGTCCACGACGAACATCGCTGACAAAACTGCGCCAAGGCACCACGGTCAAACTCTTTGTTGCAACCGTGGTACCGACGGAGACCATGGATACTGCCGACGCCGTGCCTCGTCTGCCTGCCGCCGTGGATGACGCGACGCATACGACGCCTTCGAAAGCACCGACAGACCAGGCAACCGCGAGCGCGGCCACGGCTCTTGTCGAAAAAATGCCCTCCGTTTTGGACGGCGCCGTCAAAATGGAAGTTCTCTCAGCGGCTGAGCTGCGACGGTCGGAGCGCACACAGTTTATTCAAATCTTGCAGCGCGCGTACGAGCTCCAATCGTCGACCAAAGCGCAGACCAAACGATTTGGCGCCCGCGACGCCATCGAGCGCGCTGTCGAGCTCTACCGCTCGCCGCGTGAGTGTGCGATCCACGATTACATTGAAACGACGCTTGCCCCGGCGATCCACGAATTCTTCGAGCCCTTTATGACCGCACGTGCGACGCCACAGGCGTCCACGTGGATGCACCGTCTCAAGATGATGCGATGAGAAAGCCGGGGCAACGTGGTAGCGAGGATGACCTGCCTCTGTGGGTTGAGAGTACTGAATGAAATCCGGTGGCATAGCGAATGATGATGCATCTTCGTCCACAATTGAAGGGCACACGCGACGCGGTTAAAAAGGGCGAATGAATAAACGACAGGTCGCCGTCTCCATCGTATGTTCTGTCCAATCAATGCACGTTAATCTTCGTCTCGATGAGACGGGAAATGTGTACGCGAGGCGCGGGGATATTTCCCCTAGCTTCGGATTGATTGCAACCGGCCTCGCGTCTCGCGATTTACTTCGAGCAGCTCTCAACATCCGGCCAATAGATAGATAGATAGATAGATAGATAGATAGATAGATAGATAGATAGATAGATAGATAGATAGATAGATAGATAGATATGGCCTTTATTCAGATGTATCAACGCAAGGTCCCATCATGTCATGACGATGTGTGCAGGATGATACAAACGACAGGTAGTTGATGACACGAAAACCTGAGGATTCGAAATGAGGATTCCTCCACCAACCATGCGTTGGCATCGCAAAGCTGCGCATGACGCAAGGTCGGTCAGCCTCGATTCGCTTGCAGTCGCCATCTCGAAGGACCATCGGTCTCTTGCCGCCAGTCGTAGAGAATCTGAGCAACAGCAAACGCAACAACTCGTTTTTGAGTATATTTCCCGATGCTCATGCCGTCGCCTGCGTGGCATGATGAGAGTCGCTGTCATCAAAATGGCCAGCGGCGCCACCGGGGCACCGACGGGGCATCGTCTTGAAACTGGTCGAGGTACGGGTGCAGGAACGCCCGCATCGTCGGGTCGAGTGTGGTAGCGACGTACTCTTCCAGCGCACACTCGTCGGCGAGCTGCATGAGCTTGAGTGCATTCGTGACGGCGTTGTCGAGCTCGGGGCGCTTGGTGGCGATGCAGCTGCGCCGGCGATCGTTCCCCGAGGCATGGGTCGTCATCACCATCGCGAACGCCAGCTCCAATTTCAGCACAAACTGCCGCCGAATGGCTTGACGTCGCTCAATCTCTGGCACAACGTCCAGCGGGACGTACATGGGCGTTGCCTTGGCTTTGCCCCGAACCGTGTTGACCAGCTGCC